CGGGGCACGCCCTCGCGGTGACGCGACTGCGGCGGGCAGGCGGAGGGGAGGGCGGGGGAATCCTTTTGGAAGAGTGAACGTCAGGGAGTAGGCTGGTGGAAAAGCAGAACTGCCAGGAAGGGCGGGGGCCGCCACGCTCGAAAAGTGGGAAGTTTGAGTGGGCCAGAAAACCCTCTTCTCCTTTCAGCGGCTGAAAATAACTCCAGAATCCGAGCAACGTGATATGGCGTAGTTGATATGCCAAATATTCACCGCCACAGCACTACGCCCCGCCCTGTGCAAAACTAAACCAAAAAGGAAGAAAAAAGATAAAAACCCTCAAAGTCTGTTCCCAGTTCCAGCGGGTGGTGGCCTTTGCGCTGCCAACTTCTTGAACAGCCGGACAAGTCCCAGGACGCTTGCGCTTCTGTTGGGGTGGGGAGGAAGGAGAGGGAAGCAGGGAAATTGAGGTAATGGGTGTCAAGTCAGGTTTTGTTTGTTTTTTAAAACATATTTTGATCTAATATTTGATGCATACAAAAACTAAATTTAGCAATTATATTAAGTGTGAACATACTAACAAAACAAAAATCCTACTTTACGTTGCCATTAGTAAATTAAATGCTAAAGCATTTGTTTCTGTATCTCTGGAAGTCTGCCGCTTGCTTTGGCCTGATTTTGTGTGTTTGTGTGTGTGTGTGTGTATTTAGCTTGCCCTTTTCTTTAGATATATTTTGGCTGACAATGTTTCATTTCACTTTAGAGATTTCTAAAAATAATATATACCATATATATGCATATAGCCTTTCAATATTTGTTTTTATTAACTTTTTTCTATGATTCGCTGAAGTTGCTAAGTGTACTAGTAACGATTCACTTTACTGACCAGACAAATGGGCTATCATTTCCTGTCAGGAATGTATTCGGTTCCGTAGCAGATGTGAATATGAAAACACTTTACATCCTTTGTCTATAAGAACACACTAAATGTATGGTTTTTCTGCGTTTTGAGTGTTATAAACTTGCAGTAACTCTTACTTGAGTTAGGTGACTTGTAATTTGCCTTTTCTCATTATAAATACTCACTTTTGAAGTTAATGTTTGTTCATAATTTTGTTTTTTTCCCTTACTTTGGTCTTTTAAGACAGAATCTTATGTCTGACGTCAGACATGATCTTCCTGCCTACACCTTCCAAGTGCTGGGCTTACTGTCTTGTGCCCCTGTTGCCAGTGTCTTTGTCCTTGAAAGCTTCCTCCTCCAATCATATAAACCCTTGCCCCACAAGGCACGCTTTGCCCTGGAAATCATAAACAAGGCACCCAAAAATACTGTTGTTTACCTCCAACAGAGAAGCCCATTTGCCCTTCAGATGCATTGTAGGGTCGAAGGATTTAGAGGTGTTCGACTTTCAACTTTTAATTTTTAAAATTGTATTTGTTACTTTTAGATGGAGGGCTTTAGGAAGCCCATTCTCTCTCCACCTTGGGGAGGTGGTGTCTCTTGTTTCTGCCACACTAGGTGGTCCAGGCTAGCTGGCTAGTGAGCTAGCTGGTCTCCTGTGTCTCCATCTCGCTGTAGGGATCCTAGGATTACAGATGAGTGCTACACCCAGATTTTTAAAGGGGTCAGATTTATGGCACAAGTGATTTTTCACCCTCTGAACTATCGCCCAGGCTGGGAGGTGCTCAGTTTCACAAGACGGTTCTGCAATATTCCCAAAGTGGTTGCGCCAGTCTCTATTACTCTCACATTCCTTTTGATAGCCTACCAAAAATAAGTAACTATCACATTATTTTAATATGAATTCCCTAATTACTGGTAAGGTTGAACTTTTATAAATAATTTTTTCATCCATAGTTCTTCATCTCAACATTTACAACTTACACACATATTATTTATACCAATCTTTCGTCAACTGTATACATCGTAAATATGTTCTGTTTGTATCATGTATTTTCTGTTTTATACTAGCATCCCACTTTATATTAAAACTGACTTATATGAACATTTAACTATATAAAATACATCTACATGTGTCTATATAGGTTTCTGTAAGATCACCCATCGGGAAAAAAGCAGCCGTAGTTTTCATTAGAAACTCAGGATTTTGTTTTCATTTTGCAGTTGTCCATTTTGTTGTGTGCATTTTGAAATATGCATGCTGAAGGAGTTTTACACGTACTTTTTAAAATTTAAATTTATTTTAGCAGGTATATAAAAACAGAAATTTGGGGCTCAGAGGTTAAGAGCACTAGCTGCTCCTCCAGGGGTCCCGAGCTCATTTCTCATCAACCACATGGTGGCTCACAACTATCTATAATGAATGAATCTGGTGGCCTTTTCTGTATGCAAACAGAACACTGCATACATATAAATAAATAAATAAACAAACAAACAAATAAATAAATCTTTAAAAAATTCTACATATGTATGGGATTCTACGTTTTCATTTTTAAAAAACATATACGTATATGAAAGAAATCTAAATGAAGTCACCAGAAACTGGGTTGACAATGCCTCAACTCAATGTCTTTTGCCACCAAGTGCCAGGGATGGGCTACATCTAGTTGAATCATTGACCAAAGAGGCCCCATGGGAACCCCCAAACATCTCAGGCTGCTGCTGAGGATGTAATTGCTCCCCACAAACCGATGGAAAGGCCCTCTTGCTGAAGACAGTGTTAACATACCTCACTGAACACAGAGAAGTCAAACTGGTGCCTGACCAGAGCTCTCACTCCTACCGACTAGTGTTCCTGGTACTGGAAGGTACTCTGCTGCTGCCGGAGAAGAGTAGCAATCAGCCTAGCTACAAACCCTGCGCTTTTACCATGGGAACCTGCCTGCAGGGCATGCTGGTGCAATAATGACACAAACGTGGGAGTAACCAACCACTCTGGTTGGATTTAAGATCCACTCCATGAGATGGAACTCGTAGCTGACACTGCTCAGGTGGCCAAGAACCTGAGGCTAGCTAGGCCATGGGTCTAGGGGAAAACCAAATGGTATCATTCTGCTAGAGGAGTATAACATGGAAATGACTCCTAATGACTCTGCTATAGGCATAGATCAGTGCTCCACTCAGCCAGCATCAGAGACACTTGCTCTTGCAGTAGAGGAGAACTAACACACAGACTCCCCACTGGACTATGTGAAGAGAGAGAGATTTTGGAACACTCAGTCCTAGATGATAGGGTATAAGGGTATCTTCATGAAACCTCTTCTCTTAGGGGTTCAGGGAGCTGGGGGAAGAAGAGGCAAAAGATTGTAAGAGTCAGAGATGACAACAAGAAAGCATTCTCTCTCTCTCTCTCTCTCTCTCTCTCTCTCTCTCTCTCACACACACACACACACACACACACACACACACACAACTGTGGCAGCATGCTCAGGGCCTGCAAAGTTTCAAGCCAGGTGGGGCCCCAGCACTGAGAGGAGCACATAGGTATGAGCTTCCACCCCTCACCAGGAAGTTATCTCCAACTGACATCTGCTTGCAAAGAAAAACTAATTTTCTCCAATGGAGTCTCACAGGGTATATAAACCATACTTATGGGTATATCTCATGTCCAGCAGTGGATGGCCAACTCAAAAAACAAACTCACTGGTATTTTTGGAGACATGTCTCATACTGCTTTCTTTCTGCTTTTTTTTCTTTCTGATCTTTTGCTTGTATATTACAGTTTCTGGTTTTGTGTTATTATGGGTTTTGTTTGTGTGTTTCTGTGTGTGTGTGTGTTTCTTGTGTTTTCTTTCTTTTTTAAAATCTGGTTTCTTTGCCTGCCTGTTTGTTTTCTAAAGACAGAGAGAGAGAAAGGCATGGAGTTGAATGGATGGTGAGGTGAGGAGGATCTGGGAAGAACTGAGAGAGGGGAAACTATGATCACAATATATTGTATGAAAAAAATATTTTCAACAAAAATAAAAGGTTTATTTTACGTTTGTTTATAGGTGTTTTACTTACATATGTGTCTGTATACCACATGTGTGCAGAAAAAGATTTTGGATCCCCATAGAACTGGAGTTACAGATGGTTGTGAGCTACCATGTGGGTGCTGGGAATGGAACCTGGGTCCTCTGGAAGAGCAGTCAGTGCTCTTAATTACTGAGCTGTCTCTCCAGCTCCTATGTTTTCAACTTTTAAAGTTGACTTTGAAAAGAATCGGACTTATGAAAAGCTTTGGCTACTACAGCATTCATGTGCACTCAGTGTGTGCTCTTCACATGGTCACAGCTTGTGTATTTGGAACAAGGACTTTTTTGTTGAACAATTACAGAATGAATTATAGCATGCATAAATGAAGGCAGAGCCATTCTTTCATGACTCCACAGAACAATGTTCAGAGTTAGATAATCTATCATTA